TATTTTAGTTTTCATTACATATTCCATTTCTGTGTTTTAGGTCATCAAATTTCCCTACAGTTTCAAAGTCCTCGGAAAGTGCATCTTCATCTCTCTCTGCAAAAAAAAGTTCATGGAGGATAACAAAAAAGTTGGTTCTATCTACTCCATTGCTTTTGTTGACATAAATTAACTTGCAGATGATGTTCAAAATTTTACTCTTGATTATGAGAAAGTTATATCAGTCTTATGATGTCATTATTCACAGAGATCAATCAATGCACAAAATTGTTTTCGAGGATGGTGGATTGCCTGATGGAACTGAAGTAGCTTATTATTCTCATGGAAAGGTGATCCAGACTAATGCTACAGGCTTTATCGCTTATTTTTATTTATTTTTCTCCTTTTCAATATTGCAATTTTCCTCTTTGCCATTTACAGAAATTACGTGATGGTTATAAAATGGGGTCAGGAATACGTTGTCGTTGCTGCAATAATTTGGTAATATTACTTACTGGTTCAGTTTGGCTGGAAGCTTTTAGCTGATGTGCTGATGCTATTTGCCTATTATGCAGATGAGTCCATCTCAGTTTGAAGCTCATGCTGGTTGGGCATCACGCAAAAAGCCGTTAGTCTTCTTTCTCCACTCCCCTTCTGCTGGTTGAAGGTTTGGCAATATGTGACTTTTGTTTTGCTTAAAATCTAATGTCATGTTTCCTGTTTTATTTTCTGCAGCTACATGTACATCTACACATCTAATGGGGTGTCTCTCCATGAATATGCCATATCTCTATTGAAAGATCGCGAGTGTTCTGCTAAAGACAGTGATGACTTGTGCATCATTTGCGCAGATGGTGGGACACTTTTGCTTTGTGATGGATGTCCAAGGGCCTTTCACAAAGGTGAACTATTGATTTCTCCATTGATTAATGTAGATATATTTTTTATTCTTCCTCTATCAAATACCTTCTGCGCTATGTAAAGGGCGAAAGCTCATTCCAGAATAGTTTTTATTGCCAAGAAGGGCATGTGAGGGAATATCCGAAAAAAGGAGTGAGTCCACTTCAGTTGGATCCATCTTGATCACATGCCCAACCATTTCAACCCTCTTAGTTGCTTTGAACCTTTTCTTTAATGTTTTGGAGATTCCTTCAGATTCTTTGTCACCTTCTTATTTTCTTCTCCTTTTCTTCTTTTATTTTGGGGTGGGGGGAATTATATACGTACCAACGTACATCTTAGTGGATGAGGGAAGCCGTAGTATTTGAAAGAAGAATCTAACCCACTGTTAGAAGGAAATCTGCATCCTGCTTTCATTTGTTAGATGAAGACACACTGAATTGAGAAGTTGAAGTACACCTCCCTTTTGGTGCATGAGAGAGGTGGGTTTGGATGCCTGTTTAGATGAAACAATAGCACCTACATTGGATCTATGCACGTTTATATATGTAAAGAAATATGTATTTATTTGTTTATACCTTGTACCTTGCCTATGTATGTGTATATATTTATATCTGGGGACCTTTCAGCCTACATATGTATTTGACAAATTATCATAGTCCTTAATTTTAAAATGATCTAATGGTATTTAATAATGTTATGAAAAAAATAAATAAATAAAAAATCACCACCCCCCCCCCCCCCCAAGGG